AACTCTGTATCATTAAGAAAAAAAGAGAAAACCCTAACCAAAAAATGAGAAATAGAAGAAGAAATGTTATAGCAATTATGGTAGAAATACAAAGCTTATAAGACACTATTATGAACATCTACGTGCCAACAAGTTGGACAATCTTAAATATATGATAAATTTTAGAAGTTATAAAATCTTCTGTTTGACTGTTCTCCAAAATTATTACCTTTGCAGATGTCATGATAATGCATATAGGGAGTCCTAATTACTCACACAGAACATTACTAGACATAATTAGTGGGTAGTTAAGTAGTAGGATATAAAGCAAATATATGTGTGTGTGTGTGTGTGTGTGTGTATACCTGCTGCATTTCTGCATATAAACAGTGAATTTGAGAAAAGAGAAGTTAAGAAAACAGTTTACAGGTGGAAGAAATGAATAGCTTGACCAAGTCATCATAAATACAGAAATCAAAATAGCATTAACAAGTATCCCCAAGAACAGAAACCAGGAATTAGATGACTTCACCCGTGAATTTTTCCAAACTTTCAGTGGTAACAGTATACCGTCGCCTCAGTATAATATCATTGTCATGCCTATTGCATTTGAACGTGTGTTCAATATCTTCTAATGATTGTTTATTTCCCCCTGGTTATTTCTGTTTATTTTCAGTTTTTAAGCTTTGTTGAGTATTACTGATATGTTAAAATTGACGTAGTAGCCAGTGAGCTAGCTCATGTGGCAGAGGACACTGTCTCTGATGTACAAAACCCTGGTCTCAAGTCCCAGTAGGCATGACCCCCCCCACACCCCCCACCCCCACCCCGAGCACCTGGTAATCCCTGAACACTGCTAGATGTGGCCTTGGCACAGCCCACCACCATCCCTGTGGTCTGCTCCCGCCTGTGAGCATTGCTGGATAGAGTCATCAGGCTGACCTTACAGGGCCAAACATTTTCTGGAGTGGCCCCTCAGCTTTTCCAGCACTGCTGTTTCTGGCTCAGAATTTTAAAAAATATGGCATTATATGCTTTTGACGACATCAGAAAGATAGACCGCATGTTAAATGTATGCCCCTGCCTTCATCACATACATATGTATGTGTGTGTGTGCATACACCCACATCCGCCCACACACCCACACACACAAATGCACACAAGAGTACGAGGGATTCTTTAAAGGCAGTGTAAATCCTTAGTACCTTGACTCCAGTGATTGTGTGGTGTCACTGTATTTGCTTACCAAATGTGTATACTTAAGATGTGCCGTTTTTGTGTTCTATAGAATTTATTATCCCTATATTTAAAGCCAGTGTAGTTTAACCACTTGAAATCTTAATTGTTCAGTAGGTATATGGATGGTGTTTGATTGAACACTAAGCTGACATAATAGGACCACTCCAATATTAGTCGCTTAACAAAAAATAAATATATGATGAGTGGTGTAGGTTGGCAGCACATGCAGTCACACCTGTGTTCAGGCTAGCAGGAAGGGGAAAGAGAGCATGAAAGAACGCCCCAAAAGCTCAGTCCAGGTTTCAGTTGCTCCTCTCTTATTCTGTCAGGGGAGAAAAGTCAATGGACTGTATTTATCTGCAAGTAGGGCTCAAAAATGTAATTTTTGGTCACTAATCGGGTTCCACCACCTGCTCTGTAGAGTAAGGGCAAACAGATTCTGGCAAAACTGTTTCACTCTCTACCACAGCCCATTTCTGGTCATCCAGATGTGTGTGTAGACCGAGCTTTCTGCATGAAAACCCATATTCGATTTCTAAGGGAGAGGGGGCTGATAAGCCAATCCATTTACTGTAGTTAGCTCAGAGTCTAGAATTTCTGCATGAGCTCAAAGAGAAAAACATCCATGAACTCAAAGAGAAAATATCTGTACCTCAAAATATATGTTACAATGGAATGAAAACAGTTATTGGAAAATTACAACGATAAACACAGCTGGTGAATAACAGATATCAAATGTCACAGCAGCAAACTTGCAAGGCTGAGGTATTGCAGTAAATGTCTTGTTCTCCTCTGGATAATCTTCCTAGTTCTGTTTTCTAGAAGAAACCATTTATCCATTGTGCCTTCTGCTCCCTATTTCTGTCTGTGGAGAGAGTTTTGTCTGTTCCCTGCCAAGGTTACAGACAGTCTCGGTGTTGGAGATTATGTCCTATGCAGAGGCAGTCTACAGGCTGGAGCAATCATGAATTTTCAGCTGATGAGCTTTTTGCTGAGCTTCTTGCGCTTGGGATATGGTAATTCCTCCAAACCTTGGTAGATTTCTGGTCTGTTGGTTGCCAGCTTCTTGCCTATGTCAAGAACTATCTTTCTGGACATATGGCTTTTAACTTCTATGTCCTTATTTCTAGACTCCTGACTCTCTTTTAGTGACTGCCATCTCACAACATTTGCAATCATTTAATAATTACGGATATTCTTTTTTTTTCCTTTTTGGGTCACACCCAGCAATGCTCAGGGCTTACTCCTGGCTGTGCACTCAGGAATTATTCCTGGCGGTGCTCAGGGGACCATATGGAATGCTGGGAATCGAACCCGGGTTGGCCACATGCAAGGCAAACTCCTTACGCACTGTACTATCGTTCCAGCCTCAATTACAGATGTTCTTAATCTGATGTTTATTCCAGGATTGACTCTTCCCCTCACCACCTCCCCCCCACACACACCTTTTTTACTTTTTTAATAGGAGTTCTTTGTGAAGAGTTGTGAGCATCAGTATCCTGTTGATTGTTCTAAAGAAACGATTGGCCTCTCCATACCTGCAGTGCCCCAGATGCTATACATTTCCATCCTGTCGATATATGCTTGACCTTCCTTCCACCCCATACTTTTCCAAAAGAAGAAAGCTGATGTGCCAACATGCCGACAGTTGTGTGTTGACCCTTCCCCAAGAAAAGCTCCCTGCTCCATCGCTACAGATGAAAGGGCTCTATCAGATGTTTGGCTGGAGATGAGAAAAGTCACAGGTTTCTTTATTTCCCCCCTGTGCCCCACTACTAGAGTGATGGTATTTCATTTAGGTGTTTGTTATGGATGCTCCCCATTTTTCTGAGGGGCCTCCCAAGAAGGGGGCACTGGGAGCCACTCCTAATGGTTCTCTGCCAGCTGGCTTTGGGCTCAGTGCAAGGGCCTGAGGACGCTGTGTCAGGCCTTGCAGGCGGGGAACACAGAAGGCCAGCTGACGGCCTTCACGGCCACACCAGAGAGATACTGGGTGCCATGTTGTCCAGGGACCTAATCAGGTGCCTGGCCCTGCATCCCACCCGTAACAGCAACGAAGTTTGGGATAAGGCTAAGCTGCTGTGATAAAGAGACTCCAAAACAACCTTGGCTTAAAAAAAAAATATTTTTTCGATTTCGCTGTCCCGATCCTCAGTTTGGCTTGTGTCGCTGCTTTGTGTGGTCACTCAGGGACCCAGATTTTCTTCCATGCTAAGTTCTATCATCCAGGAGTCTCGGCCTTGATTTCTGGGGCAGCTGAGAGCAGACTCTTGTGTTTTTCTGCTGCAAGAAGGAAATGATTATGGCAAGATACACCCACTTCTTAGAGCCTTAGGCTCAGAAGCTGGCTGACATCACTTGGGCCAGATTCCATGGGCATGTCTGTCTCACCTGCCTGCAGGACAGATGCAGGACTTGACCTCTCTGAGCAGGCCTGTGCCCAGCACCATGTCCTTACCTTGGCCGGCGAGAGGGACGTGAGCTCACTGCACAGCCAACTCTTAGTACTTTGTGTTTTAGGATACTCTGGACTTTCATGCTTTACATTTCTTATTGGTGTTTATAATTAGGCCCAAATGGTTGTTATTTGTTTAATTCTCACCTTAATGTTTTAGTTTCAGGTTGTCATTTTATGAAGGTTGATTACAAGTTTTATGTGATACCCTTACTGAATGAAGGACTTTAGAATGAAATTTTGCTTTATTTTCTAATACGGGTCTTTGATTTTCTTCTATTGAATTTCACACTAAAAAACACTGTTCTAATACTCTGTTATTAACTCACATGACTTTAGAAAAAAAATATGTGGGAAATATAAACACAATCCAATTTTACAATGTGTGTGTGCGTGTGTGTGCGCGTGTGTGTGTGTGCATGTGTGTATGTGTAGTGTGTAATTGGGCCACATTTGGTGGTGCACAGGGGCTATTTCTGACTTTGCTTGGGAGTGACTTCTTGCAGTACTTGGGGGACCGTATGTGGTAATGAGGATTCAAACCAGGGTTAGTGGGATGCAAGGCCCTAACCCCTACACTATCCCTCTGGCCCTAGCGGGTAGGGCGTCTGCCTTGCACGCAGCCAACATGGCCGACCCGAGTTCGATTCCTCTGCCCCTCTCGGAGAGCCCGGCAAGCTACCGAGAGTATTTGATATGCCAGACACAGTAACAACAAAGTCTCCAGTGGAGACGTTACTGGGCCCGCTCGAGCCCTTTTTATTAATTTAATGATACAATTATGAGTTCTAGTGATGGTCACAGGAGAAGCGTCATGCAATTTTTATAATGTAAATTTTATTAAAAATGACCATACTTTCTATCTTTAAGGGAGACGTTGTGATGTTATACTTTAAAAAAGAAATATTAATTATCAGAGCCATGCTTTGTTTGTATGACTTTTCCAGATTAAAAAAAATCTGACTCTTTAAGAAAAAAATAAACTAGAACCTTAATAATTTAGTTATAGCCTTGTTTAAATATGTAAATGGAAAATGTATTCTGATTTTTAATTATCTGAATCTGCTCTTAGAATAGAAGTAATTTTTTGGGTAATTTACATTATGACAGTATTCCTGGGTCCTCCCAGATTGTACAAATTTATTAGATGATCTTGTCTAATGAGCATCTGGATAGAAAGTTGGGCTTATTAGGCTACACTCAAAGTGAAGGCTGTGAAGTTTGGAAGTTTGGAAACTTAAAAATGAGAGGATTGATGCTCAGCATGGACCTTGCAAACTTCTCATGAATCTGACCAATGCTTGCTGTTTCCCTTTGTCTCTGGAAGCTATGGCAGACTGTCCTTCGAGTATCCAGCTCCTGTGTGACCACGGCGCCTCAGTGAACGTGAAAGATGTGGTAAGTCCGCCTGGGTTCGCTCTCATTTCAGCTCGGGTATTGTCACCTTCACGTTTGGGGAGATTGATTGTCTTGATGCTGTTTTATTTTTCTTGTTGCTTAGGATGGGCGGACACCGCTTGTTCTAGCCACTCAGATGTGTAGGCCAGCAATATGTCAACTGCTGATAGATAGAGGGGCGGACATTAACTCCAAAGACAAACAAAACAGGTAATTCCGTTATCACAGCTCTCCAGACATCAGCTGCATGCGCAGTGATCGTGAAACAGCTGCTGAGACGTGGCCTTTGATTTCCTCTGGCTCCCCTCTTCCTTGGAATTAGCACCCACTTCTAATCCCCATCCTCCCCACTTCCCCCACTCCTGATCCCCACCAGAGGAGGGCTTAAGAAAGAAGCTGAGGGAAGTAAAGGAAAATGAGAGGGCACATGTTGAATAAAACACGTATGAGGGCTTGTTTTCTGGTCAGAGAACTGAGGGGAAAGAGGAATGGCATCCCAGTCATGTGAAGGTTTTAAGAAGTCTTCAATCAAATGGGTGCAGATAAGAAATAAGGCAAGCATAGAGCAGCGTCCGTTTACATTGTATGTGTGTTTTCATTAGTGAAACATGAGATGCACTACTAAAGTGGTTGTGTAGTGGGCTGAAGCTGGCTATGTCCCACAATAGACGTTCTGAAGGTCTTTTTATTTCATACCCTGTCCGGGCACCAGGCTAATTCCTTCACCAAAACTGAGTTTGTTCTCTACCTCAGAATTCCCTGAGGTTATTTTTATATTTTACATTATTTTTTGTTAGTATGCACTAGTAACTCTGTCTATAATTCTCCCTTCCCCCTTCTCTAGATTTGTCTTTCATAAACTCTGTTGCTATGTGTAGCAATATCTCTATTATTACTAGAGCTATTGTTATTTTGATGCTTTAGGTCTCAACGTTCCTGACAGCAAAATATGTGAAATATATCTCCTTTCACTAGTTAAGTTTTGCAATATTGTAAATCACTAGTATTTCACTGGTTAAATATTTCACTAGTTAAGTTTTATAATTTTGTAAATTGGGAGTATTATTATAAAAAATATAAAAAATGATTATTATTATAAAAAATTTTTTTACTTAATTTTATTCTTTACATCTAAACATGCATCCTACTGTAATTTGTTGGAAGTTGGTAAGTGTAATAAAAGTCTTTAGATGTCATATTTTATGACATTTGTTTTTATTGTTTAGACAGCTCAAAAAAAGGAAATTCTTAAGCAGTTAAATCATAATGTGATTATTAAGAAAGTGATTTTGTTTACTTTGTTTTTGCAGTTTCTATAATCTGGTTTCAAGCATGGCTATAATTAAATATAAATGTTATTTTAAATTTTAACATTTAAAAAATTTTATCGTTTAATGTTATTTTTAATCAGAGAGGGATGATCTAATTAATCCATGTATAATGGCTTGTCTTTTCATTTATCTTAGATTGTTCAAGTATGTTTGTGTCTCTTTATTTATTTATTTGCTTTTTGGGTCATACTCGGCTATATACAAGGGTTATTCCTGACTCTGCACTCAGATATTACCCCTGGTGGTACTCAGGGACCATATGGGATACTGGGAATCGAACCCTGGTCAGTCACATGCAAGGCAAATGCCCTACCCACTGTGCTATTGCTCCAGCCCCCTGTTTGTTTCTTTTTAATTGAAACTTTACCAAAACAAATGCAGGAGGGTATTGAGTAGTGTATAGTCTCTATTCAATGGTTTTTTTGTGGGCATGCAGATTGATATCTGCAGATTAATACTAGTATGCAGAAATTTCCTGCTTATATCCAAGATGTATTGCTATTTAAGATATGATATGCTGAACAGAATTTTCACTTTATAATATTACTTAAAAACAAATACACAAAACACAAACAAATTTTTTAAAAAATTCTTACATTTTTTTACTTTACCATACTTACACACATTTTTTTTTTTCTGTTTTTGAACCACAATGAACAGTTCTCAAGACTTAGTCCTGACTCTGCAATCAGGGATCATTCCTGGCAGTGCTCACAGGATATATGGGCTGCTGGAATCAGACTTAGGCTGGCCATATGCAAGGCAAGCGCTTTACCAGCTGGCCTTATTAGTGCTAATTTTTGAGACCCTTGAGCATGGAGCCAGGAGTAAGCCCTGACCACTTCCAGGTGTGACCCAGAAACAGGAAGGTAGGAAGCACTGGACTATACAGCAAATTAGGCTTTCTTTCTGTTCTATCTATAGCATTTTCCTGGGTAGGGCGTCTGCCTTGCACGCAGCCAACATGGCCGACCCGAGTTCGATTCCTCCGTCCCTCTCGGAGAGCCCGGCAAGCTACCGAGAGTATTCGATATGCCAGACACAGTAACAACAAAGTCTCCAATGGAGACGTTACTGGGCCCGCTCGAGCAAATCGATGATCAACGGGAGGGCCTTTACTCCCTAAGCAACAAATTCTTTATTAATAGCTATGTTTAGAAAATTGTGTAATTGCAACTATAGGAGAGTCTTAAAGAGAAATAGCAAAAACAAGAATCCTTTTCTTTCAAAAAATTCAACAGCTGAGTTAAAGAGGGAAAAAGTCACTTGATTTCATTATGCACTGATTTCTCAGAAGTAAAAACAAAGGATGTGGATCAGTTGTCTCACAGCATTATTGCTATTTACTTATATATATATACTACAAACTGTATACATGCTGATGATTCTGCCGTGACAGAATAAAGCCGTGATTCATTTACTAGAGTTAATTTAAGAGTTGTTTGAGGATACAGATTTTAAGTTAAGTGTGAAGATGTGAAAAGAAAAATTAGGACAAGGATTTGAATTCTTTTCTTGAGAAGAAAGTATTTGTTGAGTAAGTTTTCCTGCTAAGGTTTATGAAAATAACTCGAATAGTTTTTTGTTATAGATTTTGTGCAAATAATATAACAGCATCAGTTGTGCGAGATTTTTGTGGTAATTTGCTTGTCAGGAATTGATAGACTGGAATGAAGAGAATTAGTTTGGGAGTAGAAGTAACAAAAATATTAAGTTTTGAGGGGGCTGGTGTAAGTTTTTAGCTCTGTAAACTAAGACACAAAGCAAATATTTTATGAAAGTGGTGAAGTTACACTAAGATAAAGATGTGAACAAGAACTGGTTTCTGTACCAAGTATGATATTTGAAAGAAATATCTGTCCTTTACGGAGCTCCTCAAAGAATATTTATGAATTGTTTTTTTTTTTTTTTTGCATCTTTCTCAGGGTCTTTTATTCTTCTGTTTTCCTCTTAGAACTGCTCTCATGCTGGGCTGTGAGTATGGCTGCAGAGATGCTGTGGAAGTCTTAATTAAAAACGGTGCTGATGTCACTTTGCTGGACGCCCTTGGCAATGATTGTTCTTACTATGCAAGGATTGGTGACAATCTGGACATTCTCACCTTACTGAAAAATGCCTCAGAAAATACGTACAAAGGTAATGGGTTTCTGTGACTAGATAAGAGTGCTTGAGAAGCTTAGAGGGCAGATGTGCCATTTGAAAGAAGGGACACACCTTACTGACGAACAGTGTTTATTTGTCTTCCTTTATACCCGGGCTTGACATTTTTACAGGATAGTCGTTTGTCTTGAGGCAGTCTGTGTGTCAGATTGTCTAGTTTATTGAGTCGACTAGACTGTGGGTGATTTAAGAACTAAGGAGAAAGGTGCCAATACGGTGTTTTTTCCCCTTTTTCCTATGAGAAGGGTAAAGCTCATAACTCTTACATTGGACGATTTAAAAGATATTTCAAATGTATATATAAAACATCCAAATAATAGTTATCAAAAACTTGTGCCAAGTATTTTTTTATGCTTAAGAGTCACTAGAAAATGCATAAAACCATAACAAATAAAATTATTCTTCCTACTTGGAGGACAAAAATCTTTCCCATCTTTTCCTGGGCATATTGTTTTTATGTGTAATATTTTCTCAAGAGTGATTTTCACTGTTGCACAAAATTCCTTAGGTTTGATTTCATTTAATTAACCAGTTTCCTATAGATGTTATATAAATTGTTGTTTTTTAATGATATAAATAACATTTTAGTAACTGCCCTATACATAAATATTTTAACATATTTTTATTTTGCCTTTTGGGCTAGTTCCTAGAAATTGAATTACTAGGGTTTTAGAATATGTACATTTCTTTCAAGATTTTTTAAACTTACATTGACAAATTATCTTTCAATTAAAGGTATCTCAAAGTTTTTATCTTTCCTTGCATTTCCTCCCTAGCATTGTATATTTACCTACCTGATTGTTGTTGCATTAAAAACAAACTAGGTCATATTGATAGGCCTATATAAATTATTACAGCTATTTTAACTGAAAACAAAATAAGTTAAAACTCATATTTGATAAGTTTTTTTTTTTAATGTCCAAGGCTAGTACCCATAACCATGGAAGCTGTTTATTTCCACTGGGACACTGATGTTAAAATAATCTCCCATGTTTACTTAATTGAAAATTATATGAATACATATATATTCAGGGTAACCTGCTGTTTCATTGATCCTCTTTCTCATCTCTTTAACTTTTAGGGAAAGAACCTTGGAAGAAAGGGCCATCTTTACAACAGGTAGGACTTAATTTTAGGTTTTTATTTATATGTATTGTGTAAATTTAATAATTGAGTTTAATTGAAGTAAAATTAAATTTAGCTAATGATAACATATAAGTGTCTTGAGTGTAAATGCATGCTGTTCTCTCTCCTCAGTTAATCATGCCCACATAGAACTTAACAATAAAGAATATTCTCTAATATTCTCTAATATTATCACTTAGCTTGAGTCAATGGATTTGTTTTTGGTTTTGGATCACATCTGGCTGTGCTCAGGGCTTACTTCTGGCTCTCCCTGTGCTTGGGGATCACTCCTTGGTGGATTTGGGGGCCAAATGGGGTGCCAGAAATCGAACTTCAGTCAACCACATGCAAGGCAAGTGGCCTACCTGCTGAATACCTCTCCAGCCCCAAGTTAATGGATTTTTTTAAAAAGTAATTTTTATTAAAAACACTATAATTAAAAAAAAACACTGTGATTTACAAAGTTATTCATTCTACAGTTCGTTTCAAGCATTTAGTGTTCCAGTGAACATTTAAAAAAATGTTGTCAAGTATGAGATATTGGACCTTGTTGAGATTCTTAAATGATGACTTTAACCTGAGGCCATAGACACTTTTTTCCCTAGCCTGCCTTAGTAGTTCCAAGATGCTCACTATTAGGGGCAAGTAAGAAGTAAAGAACACAGCATTTGAGACTTAAAGTTCGGAATACCAATTTTGAGTTTTTATTTTTAACATCAAGGAATGAATATTAGTTTATTAAGAATTTGGTGGGTTAGAGCAATAGCACAGTGGTTAGGGCGTTTGCCTTGTACGGGGCCAACGCATGTTCGATTCCTCCATCCCTCTAGGTGAGCCTGGCAAGCTACCGAGAGTATCCCGCCCGCACAGCAGAGCCTGGCAAGCTCCTCGTGACATATTCAGATATGCCAAAAACAGTAACAACTGGGGCTGGAGCGATAGCACAGCAGGTAGGGCATTTGCCTTGCACACATCTGACCCGGGTTGATTCCCATCCTATATGGTCCCCTGAGCATAGCCAGGAGTAATTCCTGAGTGTAGAACCAGGAGTAACCCCTGTGCATCGCCAGGTGTGACTCGCAAAAAAAAAAAAAAAAAAAACCAGTAACAAGTCTCACTTTGTATTCCTGGAGCAAGCTGATGCCATTGGGCTACACTAGCACGTGACAGGGATGGATAGAGACGTTACTGGTGCCCGCTCGAGCAAATCGATGAACAACAGGATGACAGTGACAGTGACAGTGCTAAAAATAAATTACACTTGGTTTTTTAAAAGCCGAACCTATATTCTTAAAAAGTTTCTTTCGTTGGAGTTTTAAGTGGAAATACTGCCACCTTGTGTTCTGTACAACAGAATTTAATATAAGGTTTATATTATAATAAAATACAATTTTTGTTCTGTACAACAAAATGAAATATTTAATTTTAAAATTTAATACATTTAAAAATAAATTAATTTGGCATAATGCCTCTTGAGGAGAATGTGCATACTGTTTTATATTTGCTCTGTTTCATTCTGTTTCATACTTGCTAAGTCATGTTTTCATGTTTTACCAAAGCGAAATTTGACACACTTTCTAGATGAAGTAAATATGAAGTCAAATCAGAGGGATCATCAAAACACTCAGGTAAAAAGGAAAAAAGAAGCTTTGTACTTTCCTTTGCAGAGAAATCTGGTATTTGTCACATAGTGTGGAAAAGAGAGGAGAATGGGCTGGAGAGAGAACAATTTATTATGTTTTGTGACTCTTTAGCTTTGCCTAATCCCTTCTGAAAGAATTTTGATATTTGAGTTTTAAATGCTTGAATGAGTATATATTGCAGAAAAGTTTTAAAACATTTATTAGGGAGCAAATAAGTAACAAGTTTATATAATTTTTACTTATTATATCTGTTTGGAATTCTATACCAAAATTTATAGTCATTAAAAATTATATTGATAAAATGATGATTGTTATTATAAGTAAAATACAAAATCAACTTTGAAAGCATTTTTACTCTGCTTAAGCACTAGATGTAACCTAAGGACAGTCATGGGTACCTTGGTGGTGGTGAAGATGCAATGACTTTATATATAAAAATCATAAGTCTTAATACTCTAGTAATAATGTTAACTGAACTATAATAAATTTTAAAAGATAATTAAGGAAATTTTATATTATTTCTAATGTAAATAAAAAGTGAATCTTTTTTAAAAAAATATTTATTTTGATTAATAAAAATAGTTTTATTAACCAGAAAGAACTTTTTTATGTTTGTCTACATGTAAAGAGCACTCTTATTATGTTGAAAGAATTCATAATTAAGTGGTTTATTTATTTCTTTTTATAATTTATTTCTTTATTGAATCACTGTGGGAAAAGTTACAGAGCTTTCGGGTTTAGGTCTCAGTCATGTAAATATCAAACACATTTCCCTTTACCAATACTTATTTTTAACCGGGAACCCCATTAGAACCCCACCTCCCACCCCTCCCAATTCCTGTGAGGCAGATGAGTTCTAGTTAATACTCTATCTACTTTGACTAGATACATCGTTTCGATAGAAGATGCACCATTATTGTTTAGAGTTTACGACCCCCACCCCCCCAATCAGACATGCTGAAATGGCGCTGTGAAATGATTTGCTTTCTACAGCTGGGTTTAAGAATACAATGATGTCGCATGGCCGCAATAGCGGCCGCGCGGTTCTGGATTTCTGCTGTTTCACTTATTAACCCTGGAAGTATTTCTATTAAAAGTTAGATAGTTAAGAGATTGGTTTCTGTGCTCTGGAGTCGTGGCCGTGCCGGAGAGCCGCTCGTGGGGGGCAGCTGGTGACCTCGGTAGGGCGTGAAGTACGACCAGAACGCCCCCCTTCCCATGAGGTCCCTGCCGCCCCCACCCGCGGCTCAAACCTGCTGTCCACAAGGCTCCCGTGCGGCCGCCATCTTTCTTTCCAGAGAGGAGAGGGTGAATGGGGCAACACCCTTTCCCCTCCGGGCAGGCATGCTGGCGCGGTTTAACACATAGTCCATTTGCTTTTCTGCTCCAAGCGGGTGGCTTTCTGTGCTAAGACTTTGTGCGTCCGGGGCCGTGGCTGTGCCAGAGAGCCGCTCGTGGGGGGCAGATGGTGACCTCGGTCGGGCGTGAAGGACGGCCCAGAACGCCCCCCTTCCCATGAGGTCCCTGCCGCCCCCACCCGCGGCTCAAAGGGTGGTTTATTTTATAACTACATACCATTAAGACATAAATTGAGTAGCTGTTTTCCAAATGGCAAAACCAAAGCATTTTATTTGTATTTTCGTGATTTTTTCAATGTAGTATTAAGAAAATGAGTGGTAGCCTTATGCTAGAGCCTTAAGTATATTATCTGAGGACTGACATGATGATTAGTTTCACAAAAGCATTAGAATAGTCTCACAAACTCGAGTCAAAATATTGTTATTTTCTATTTCCAATAATGTGTTTGTTTTTCTAATTTGAAATATTGGTCTTTTATGTACTTATAATTAACATGTATAATTTTATTATTTTTGATCTGGAGCCCGGCAAGCTACCGAGAGTATTCGATATGCCAGACACAGTAACAACAAAGTCTCCAATGGAGACGTTACTGGGCCCGCTCGAGCAAATCGATGATCAACGGGAGGGCCTTGATCTGGATAAAAATAATTTATTTATAACTGGAGCGATAGCACAGTGGGTAGGGCATTTGCCTTGCAATTGGCCATCATGGAATTGACCTGAGTTCAATTCCTCTGCACCTCTTGGAGAGCCCGGCAAGCTACCAAGAGTATCTTGCCTGCACGGCAAAGCCTGGCACACTACCCATAACGTATTCGATATGCCAAACACAGTAACAATTGTCACAATGGAGACGTTACTGGGCCCGCTCGAGCAAATCGATGAACAACGAGAGAACAGTGACAGATTTTAAATCATTTAATTATCATTGAAACTCTTCTTTCATTGTACCTAAAGTAAGAAATATGTGTACATATTTGTATGTGATAGCAAAAAAAAAAAATTCTTACACAAGAATTGCTCTTGTAAGACTGGTTTAGAACCTGGTTTTTTTTGCAATTTAAGGACCTGGAGATTGAAAATGAAGATTTGAAAGACAGGTTAAGAAAAATTCAGCAAGAACAGAGAATATTATTGGATAAGGTCAATGGTTTACAACTACAGCTCAATGAGGTAAATGATTGTGTAATAGGAAAGAATTCCAAAGCTATTTTAATATTTCTAATGATAATGTCAATACCATAATGTCAAAATCGTGGTTTTAGGTGTTAAAGGAATGGGATCAAGTCATTTTCCTTGGAGAGAGTAATATCTTGTAGGTCCTTGTGTGAAACATATCTAATATCAAACTAATATCAAACTTTAGCACAGAGAATATATTGGTGTCTGGTTCTATTTGAGTCCTCTGAAGAAGAAAGAACAAGTAGGAGTTAATCTTTGATGGCTTTTCAGGAGAATTCAGTGTATTTCTGAACATTGTGATAGAATAGACACTTTCTTCTCACATCTTTGTTCCCAATTGTAAAGCTATGCTAGTCTTCTAAGAAAAGATAGTTGTCAAACCATTCATACTTTCCAGAATAAAAATAAACTTTTTCTTTTTGAATTTAGGAAATTATGGTTGCTGATGATCTGCAGAGGGAGGTATGATGATGAATTTACTTTTAAGCTATTCAATTTCATGTGAACTAAAGATGTTATTGCAGGAGCTTAATTCCTGAACCAACATGGAGATGAGGATTTCATTTCTGCTTAAGAACCAAAGCCTGCATGTGACTGTTAAAATTAACACTTTGAGTGTGGTGGCTTAGTTATTCTGGGCATTTTGTTGTTATTGCCACTGCATGTCTCATTTACTCGGAAATGTTTTCTGAAAAGATGCAGTGTTCTAAATATAAGGAAATGTCTGAAAAAGCAGTACCCAAAACACAGTAATTTGAATTTTATAATATTATTTATCTATATTGTATGTTCTATTAGTAATTTTTGGAAATTATCAAGACAACTAATACTTAAAAATTCACCAGATTGGACATTTTGTTAACTCTGGTCTTCAATTTAATTCTAATGTACATCTTCTAGAACACAATTTTAAACTAATTTCAAGCACCAGCTGATTTTGCTATGAATTTATTCCTTTCCATTTCAGAAAGAAAAGCTGAAGTCACTTTTGGCAACTAAAGAAAAACAGCAGGAAGAAAGCTTAAGAACTATTGAGGCTCTGAAAAGTAGATTTAAGTGTTTTGAGGTATTGAAAGTGTAAATAAATTATTCCATAGAATTCAGAAGGGCGGTGGTAAAGGCTTGGAATCCAACTGGAATTTGGATCACTTTCTTCTTTATAATGAGAGCTTGAGCAGTTTTACATAGTCTTTGAGCTTATTGCCTGTTTGGTAAAATTGGGGTAATTATTCCTTTCTCCAAAGTTGTTAGAAAAGTTAAAGGAGATCATTGAAATGTAACTATCATTTGGCTCATTTTACTTTTTTCTTCCCCAGCATCCTCTTCTCTGTCACCTTTTCAAAACTGCATATGTTTGCTTATAAGTTTGAATATTTATAGTGGCAACACCAGCAAAGTTTTATGAATGAATACTGGTATTTCCAGGATTAACTCGGAAAGAGAGAATCCATATAATGCATCCATGGATTAATTAGGGCACTTCTCGAGAGTAGTAATAATGAGACTCAGATAGTATACTTGTCTGTGGTGGAATCAATTAACTTTTAGTTTTACTGGAGCCATTAAAAAAAAAAACAACCTTTTATTGAAGAACACACGTGATAAAGTATATGGGACAAAGCCTTTCACAATTTAAACACACCCAGATCAAGGCACAAACATCCCCAGTACGTTCCGTTTCTTGTCACTGCCCCCTCCCCCACCCCCTGCTGAATGGGGCCACTCTCCCCACCACTAACGGCACAGTTTTATTTTGCAAGGACATGTATATATATATATATATATATATATATATATATGTATATTTGTGGGCTGGAGCTATAGCACAGTGGGTAGGGCGTTCGCCTTACAAGCGGCCAACATGGCCGACCCGAGTTCGATTCCTCCGCCCCTCTCGGAGAGCCCGGCAAGCTACCGAGAGTATTCGATATGCCAGACACAGTAACAACAAAGTCTCCAATGGAGACGTTACTGGGCCCGCTCGAGCAAATCGACGATCAACGGGAAGGCCACCATGTATATTTGTACACACATATATATACACATATATATTTCATATGTGTTCATCTGGGTTCACTGAAGAAGATGGCTGACTCCATGTGATCTTTACCTGAATTGTGGAATAGAATTAGCAAGTCTATAGCAAAACTAGTGTTTACTAGATAAAAAGTTTCTTATACACACACATAAAAACACACACACATATATAACATAACAAAAATTTTTCTTCTTTGTAAATAAAAATATCTGTGCAGCTGTGAGAGAGAATGTAAAAATATGGATGAAGCTTACTCGGGTAGTGTGGCATGAGCTAAATCAGACTCCAAGTGTATAATGCATGATTCCTTTCATATGGAGTTCAGAAGCAGATGAAACTTAGCTGTGGTGACAGAAATGAGAAGAGAGGCTTGCCTTTATTGGGAAGGGGGGCGGGGGGAGGGTGTTACTGATTAGGAGGGTTTCTAAGCTGGGAATGTTCTGTATCTTGACCTAGGTTGATTCTACAAGGCATACAGAGGCAAAGATTCATTGCACTCTTCATTTAGTATTTGTATACTTTGTTGCAGATGAGTTATTCCTTGATACATTTTTGCACAGTAAATGGAAAAATTGTTTCTAATATCTATATGGCTGAATTCTGAAGATTGTTCAGAAACAGTTTTAAGCATCAGGGTCCCTGGGCTCAATCACAAGTACCACATGTGCCCCTTAAGCACCCTGGGAGTGATCCCTGGACAGCTGGAAACAGAGCGTGAGCACTGCCACGTGCAGCACCCCTTAAACCCAAAATATCAGAGACACATTTACAAGTGGCTGCTATCTCTTGCACAATGTTTGAAGACTTTTTGAAAGTTACTTTCTAAACTAGCAAGAGCTCACATCTTTCATAGCACAGACCACGTTACCAGATTCCATTCTGTGCCCTTTACGTGTATGACAAACTCAGCCACTCTTTAGAGGGGTTTTTATTATTGCACTTTCTAAGTGAGGAAACCAAGCTGTTTTTAAATAGGTTTGTAAGTATAACCAGCAGAACTTGCACCCAGACAGTCTTGTAATTCTGTGCTCTTAACTCTTAACTCAATGCTAGTTTCATATTTTGAATTGTCTAAGAAAATACAGATGTATGTGTGCATCCTTTGAATAAAATTTAACACCTTTAGTTGGATCCCATTTATGTGTGGCTTTTTTCTAAAAGGAGACTCTTAAGAGTCAAGTCCCTTATTTTTCAAAAGGCTACTTATAATAAACAAGAGAAAAATAACTTTTCTTATCACATAATAAATCTTTTAGAAAAATGGAAACCATAGTTTCCATTTATATTTATATTTTTTAAATTTTTATTTATTTAGGCTGGCAAGCTACCCATGGCGTATTCAATATGCCAAAAACAGTAACAACAAGTCTCACAATGGAGATGTTACTGGTGCCCACTCTAGCAAATCGATGAACAATGGGAGGACAGTGCTACAGTGCTTATTTATTTTTTGCTTTTTTGGGGTCACACTCAGTGATGCTCAGGGGTTACGCCTGGTTCTGTAATCAGGAATTACTCCTGGCAGTGCTTGGAGGACCATATGGGATGCCTGGGATTGAACCCGGGTGGGCGGGGTGCAAAACGCCTTACTGTACTATTGCTCCAGCCTGGAAACTATAATTCTAACAAAAACTAAAAAGCACCTCTCATTCTGGCTCTCTTAATACCTGATGGTCCCCGTTCAGACCTTACCTGTTTGTCTTACAGACACCTTCAACAGCTGGGATCAGATTATATGTCTACTTTATTGTAACTTTCTCATTCAGTGTAACTGGGATTTCTTCCCAAACCTGTTATACTCATATTTTTTAAATTTTTAATTAATTTTTAATTGAATCACAGTGAGATAACAATTACAATGTTATTCATTGTTGGGTTTCAGATATATAATGTTCCAATACCTGTCCCTTAACCAGTGTGCATTTCCCACCACCAATACCCCCAGTTTCCCTCCCGACCCCCAACCCCCGCTTCTATGGCAGGGACTTCTCTCTCTTTCTTTTTCCCTTTGAAGGTTATGGTTTGCGATACAGACGCTGAAAGATTATCATGAATATGGGTTCGACTCCTCCGCCCCTCTTGGAGAGCCCGGCAAGCTACCGAGAGTATCTGGATATATTCAATATGCCAAACACAGTAACAACAAGTCCCAAAATGGAGACGTTACTGGGCCCGCTTGAGCAAATCGATGAACAACGGGAGGACAGTGTTTGTTTGTCCCTTTACCTACTTTCAACATTCAGTTCTTGACCAGGTCATCATTTTGATCATACTCATTTTTATTCTATTTTATTTTATTACCTTTACCTTTAGTATTAAATATTACATAGGATAGGTAAAGGTAAAAAGGTAAAGGCCCTCCCGTTGATCATCGATTTGCTCGAGCGGGCCCAGTAACGTCTCCATTGGAGATTTTGTTGTTACTGTGTCTGGCATATCGAATACTCTCGGTAGCTTGCCGGGCTCTCCGAGAGGGGCGGAGGAATCGAACTCGGGTCGGCCATGCTGGCCGCTTGTAAGGCGAACGCCCTACCTGCTGTGCTATCGCTCCAGCCCATTACATAGGATAAAGAACTTAATTAAGCTTACAGATGTTTTCCCATGATTACTTAAAATGATTAGTAGAAGTGGCATTAATTTAGTCATGTAAATAAATTTTATTGTTCTTATTATGGTCATCTTGCTCCAAGTTTGACACACAGCTTTTAGTACTAAGCACATAAATACACAAACACAAACTGCATATAAGTTTATATTTGCCTTTGAGGTTATGATATTTTAATTTGTGTTAGATTATTTATATTTGGCTTACTTGGGGAAATGAGCAATCTAATCTTATCTTGATTCAGGCTATCTGAAGTTTCTTTATTATTCTCTTTTTTCTAATGATAATGCTTTGATAGATTTATTATTGTGTGTAGGTCTTTGACTTGGTTTTATTTTCTGTCTGTCTGTCTGTCTGTCTGTCTGTCTCTCTCTCTCTCTCTCTCTCTCTCTCTCTCTCCCCCTTTGCCCTCAGAGGTAATGGGTATTTTAAAATTCTGAAAGAAGCTATTATTTCACAGCCTGTGAGAAAGGGCTCCCACCCCCAACAGTGGTAAAGGAAAATGAGTACTTTATATGAATGGGACTTCTTCCTCTTGAGGTAAAGAAGTAGCAGACTGGACTGAAAGTTACTCAGGTTCATTTGGAACTCACCTATATTTCTCTCTCTCTTTCTCTCTCTCTCTCTGTGAAGTTTTTCCTTGAAACACTTGGGTGATTTTATTAAAGTGCTTAGTGAAGTAGTTTATTCCCAGCTGATCTTCCTAATTGTTGCTCGTGTTGTATCTCTTTGTGGGTTTGAGTAGAATATGATACTCAGGAGGAACAAGGAATGCTGAAATGTGGTGTTAATGATTGGACCATTCTGAGCTAAAATAGATGTTGAATTTAACAAAATGAAGCAGTATGGTAATGCATCTTTCTGATTTCAGGGTGATCATTTAGGATCAGGGATCCATTACAGTAACCGTAAGTAGAAATTGTTTCTCATTACAGTTCATCCAGTTAAAGCAAAGATGAGTTTTTTATGCCAAAAGATTTTGTCTTTCTGTGCCTCGGCATGGGTCTCGGAGGAGGTTAAGATGGTTAACATAGCTTCTAGTGTAAAATTTGATAATCCTTGAAGCTCTTACTCCCTTTACCTCCTAGATTTTTAAATTATAGACTGTATAAATTGCCAAGTTTGCCTTGTCAATTAGTTGACATTGTCTTTTGATATCTGGGGCTCATTCTTTTGTGAAAAAAAGCATGAACATAGTTTTCTGATTTGGAGAGATCTTTATATGTAGTCTCAATATCGATTTGCATTTTAAAATTCATTAGAAGTCCCATAAACGATTTTCAAGACTATACATATTTTTCTTTTATTCTCTATTTTAAAACATATTTTTAGAAAATTTCATTATTGCTTCACAAGGAATATTAAATTATCCTCTAGCTAAATGCAGTATATAAATTCTGTAGATTGTAAAGCACACCATTTCTGTTGTCACTGAGTAAAAGATACATATTCTATAATCTTGTGGCACTTTTGTCCTGTAACAGTCATAACTTAATATATAATTCAGAATATATAAAATATTATATATTACAGTATATAGACCTAATAAGAAAAATATGGACTTTTAGAGCAAGAATAATATAAAATTCTATTACAACTCAACAATTTTCTTTTGTTTGAATGTTAAAGGGAAGGAAAGTAATATCTAATATTTGGCCACTCTTGCATAGGAATTTAAAGTAAGATGTAATATATTTATAACATTTTTAGGAAAAGAAGATATGCTTCTTAAGCAAGGTCAGATGTTCCCCACAGACTCACAGGTAAACACTATTTTAAAATTCTAAATATATTTGTGTCTTTCTAAAAGAAAAAAACAGTATCAAGTGTGTATACATTGAGTATAATTTTTATTACCAAAGAAAAGTTAGGGGCCAGAGAGACAGTACAAGAGGTAAGGTGCTTACCCTGCTTGCTGCCTATTCTGACTCAGTCCCCAGCAATGTATATGTTACTTGAGCACTACCAGAAGTTACTGCTGAGCACAGAGCCATGAGTTAAGTCCTCAGCACAGCCAGGTAGCTCAAAAAACAAAGGAAAAAGAAAAGAGGAGAAAAGAGAGAAGTTGTATTGTTCAGTGTAATAAAAGCAGATATCACTGGATTTGGTGCCCTCTGGAGTGTTTCCATGACAGTGAATTAAATGAGAGATTTGAATTCCAATTTCATTGTCTTTTGTAGTAAACCTCTATTCATTAAGAACAATCAGTTAACTCTTCATGCTTTCTTCTATAAAAGGAAAGACAGTTATGAATAATTCAGCTGCTATTTGTTTGTGTTTTGAAATATATTTTCCTTGCATTTATGCATGCATATATGCCTCTGTGTGTTTTTTGAAAATCACCTGATAATAGAACTTTTAAGAGGTAATATTGTGTGCTTTTCTTACGTTACTATTCCTACTTCTAATTTCCAGGTGATACACAGTTTGCATTTCTAGCACTTCCTGGGTACTACAGAATTGACAAATAGTTGGGTTTTGAAGGTTATTTTTTTAACATACCTTCTTGTGTAGGCAGAGAAAACTAGTCTACATGATGTCTGAAATTGCTTTAAACTGGAAATTCCTAAGATTCTAAGGAGGGAATGGCCATCAGCTGAATGTAGTTAGAAGATTAGATAAATATGTAACTCTAATAAAGATTACGGAAATTGTGAAGCTGTGCGAGTCACTTGTTAGTAAATTATAGTAGTTTTAGTCTAAAGGTAATTGGTAATTCGAAGCATATAGAAGCAGACCAAGCCTGAAAAATTACTGTGTTGTTCATTTTTTTCCTTCTCCATCCATAGAAAGAAAGTTCAAATTTAGCAAGCAGTCATATTTGCATAGTAAAGTAGTGGGATATACTCATAGCACACAGCTTTTATCAATAATTTAGTGCTCATAAATGATTCTTATTATAGAAGACTGAATATACATAGTTAAAATTTAGTCTTTCATGATTATGTCTTTTATTTATGAATGATTCCACCGAGAGGTTTAGTTATACGTTTTTGGATAACATTTAATAGAAGAACAATGTCAATCAAGTTTTGTACTAAGATCATATGCTAAGTTCTCTTTTTCCTTTCGGGTTTTTTTGTTGTTGTTTTTGTTGGGTCTTTGGGCCACACCTGGTGGTACTCGGGGCTTAGTTCTGACCCTGTGCTCAAGGATCACTCCTGGCAGGGTTCAAGAAACCATATGGAGTGTTGGGGATTGGATGCTAGTAGGCTACATGCAAGACAAGTGCCTACCTGCTGTGTTATCTTTCTGGCTCCTCATCTGTCAAATTTTTTCTAACCCATCTTTCTGTTTGAGAGAAGAAAACTTCCCGCTTCTTGTGAGTTGATTAAACATTATTCTTTCTACGACTCGTACTAACTGGGTTTATTTTGATGGTGTTTTTATGACTAACACAGGATGTTACATTGGAGATAGCGAATGTCCTTAGAGGCCAGCTATCTTACTGAAAAATAATATATAGTTCTGTTATTGGCATATTTAGAATGGCAATTCTCTATTTTGTTCTGATGTTCAGGATTGGAAGTTCTGAGTACATGGTGTGCCATTAAACATAGAACTAGTAACTATATTTTGATAGTTGACATTCATGTGGGGGTAGGTGTCGTGACTGGGGGAAGGGAGAGAAGTTAGTGCCAGAGGCGACAACTGTTTCTCCTTCTTTGTTCTGACAGAAAAAAAGAAAACCTTCAGTGAACAGACTTTCAAAATCACTGCCCTAAGAGCCTATTATGGACTCTTGCCCAGAGCTGTTTTTTCTTACTTCTGAGTTATGAAGAAAAATTTTCTCACATACTCATCTGAAACCCTCAGTTACTGATAATGTAGAAATGTCCCATACATACACTTGGTAGATATGTAAGTGTCTTCTTTAGGCATCGGTGACTGATTTTCCCCCCTCTCTTGGCAGTGTGCTTCCTCAAGTATACCAGGCCACATGCAGAGCAGGTCTATGTTAAGGCCACTGGAGCTGTCCCTCTCCAATCAAGCCTCATATTCTGAACACGAGATGCTCAAGAAGGAGTTAGAAGCCATGAGGAACTTCTACGAGTCTGCCAAGCAGGACCGGCTCCAGCTCCAGAATGAGCTTGCTCACAAAGTGGCCGAGTGCAAAGCTCTCAACTTAGAATGTGAACGCGTCAAGGAGGATTCTGATGAGCAGATCAAACAGCTGGAGGATGCATTGAAAGATGTGCAGAAGAGGATGTATGAGTCTGAAGGAAAAGTCAAACAAATGCAGACACATTTTCTTGCCCTGAAAGAGCATCTCACGAGCGAGGCAGCCACCGGGAATCACAGGCTCGTGGAGGACCTGAAGGAACAGGTGAGAGACATGAAAGCGAAATATGAAGGTGCCTCAGCAGAAGTGGGCAAGTTACGGAACCAGATCAGACAAAACGAGATGCTAATAGGGGAGCTGAAGAGGGATGAAGGCAGGCTGAAAGAAGAAAACAAGCAATTGCAGAAAGACGTGAGTATGGGCGAGGCGGAGCAAGAAAAAAAGTGGAGGAGGGCCACCGAGGTGGAAAGCCAGCTAAAGGACCTGTCGGCAAAGCTGTCGCTCTCCATTCCGGCAGAGAAATTCGAAAACATGAAGAGCTTATTATCTAATGAAATCAACGAGAAAGCGAGAAAGATCGCCGAGATGGAAAGGGAATACGAGAAGTCGCACTGTGAAATTAGACAATTAAAGAGAGAACTTGAGAATGTTAAGGCCAAGCTTGCTCAGCATGTCAAACCAGAGGACCACGAGCAGCTGAAGAACATAGCAGAGAAAAAGTCTGGGGAGCTTGGGAAAAAGATCACTGAATTAACATTGAAAAATCAGACATTGCAAAAGGACATGGAAAAGTTGTGTCTGGATAATAATCTCCTCAGTCAGCAAGTACATAGCTTAAAGATTGAAATGAAAAATCACTATGTTCCTCTAAAAGTAAGTGAAGAGATGAAAAGGTCCCATGGTGCGATTGTTGATGACCTGAATAAAAAGTTCTTAGATATAACACAGAAGTATACAGAAAAGAAGTTGGAAATGGAGAAATTGCTGAGGGAAAAGGACAATTTATCTAAGAGCGTTAGTCACCTGGAGACTGTATTCATACCGCCCGAGAAGCATGAAAAAGAGATAAAGGCCCTGAAGTCCAATATTGTTGAACTTAAAAAACAGTTCTCTGAACTGAACAAGAAGTGTGGGGAAGACCAAGAGACAATACAGTCGCTCAGGTCTGAAAACACTAACTTGAAAACGACTCTGAGTAACCAGTACGTGCCAGTCAAGACCCACGAAGAGGTGAAGAGCGCACTGAGCAACACACTGGATAAAACCAACAGAGAATTGCTGGACGTGAAGAAAAAATTGGAAGACATGAGTCAGCAGTTCATGAGCTTAAAGGATAAGAACGAAATACTGAAAAGAAACCTGGAAAACACCCAAAACCAAATAAGAGCGGAGTACATTAGCCTGAAGGAGCACGAGGAGAAGATGAGCGCTGTAAATCAGAGCATGAAGAAGGTGGAGGATAGAAGTGCGGAGATTCTCGCTGACTACCAGAAGGGCCAAGCCAAGATTGTGACGTTGCACGCGGAAATGGAAGCCCAGAAGAAGGAACTCGACACCATCCAGGAATGCATCAAGTTAAAGTATGCACCCATCATCAGCTTCGAAGAGAGTGAGAGAAAATTTAAAGCCGCCGAGAAAGAACTGAAAGAACAGCTGTCTGAACAGACACAGAGGTGCAGGGCCAGGGAGGAAGAGACGAAGAAAAGCAAGCAAGAGAACGATGCCTTGAAGGAGGAGATCCTCAGTCTGCAGAAGGATGTAAGGGAGAAGAACCTTCTTGCTGAGAATTCTAGAGAAGTGGAAAGAGCTTTAAGCAGGAAGACAGAAGAGCTCAACAGTAAGTTCAGAGACCTGTTGGAGAAACACACTGAAGCAAAGAAGGAGAAAGAGAAGCTTGTGGGAGAAAATGCCAAACAGGCGTCTGAGCTTTTGGCAGCGCAGACGCTTCTGCAGAAACAACAAGCGACACTGGAACAGGTCGAGACCCTAAAACAGTCTCTGAATGGTACGATTGAGAATCTAAGGGAAGAACTTAAGAACAAGCAGCGGTGTTATGAGAAGGAACAGCAGACAGTCACCCAGCTGCAGCAGATGTTAGAGAATCAAAAGAACTCCTCTGTGCCCCTGGCTGAGCATTTGCAGATTAAAGAAGCCTTTGAGAAAGAAGTGGGACTCATAAAAGCCAGCTTGAGAAGAAAGGAAGAAGAAAGCCAGAACAAAACGCAAGAAGTCTCCAAACTTCAGACTGAGGTGCAGAATACTAAGCAAGCCTTAAAAAATCTAGAGACCAGGGAGGTGGTTGATTTGTCCAAATACAAAGCAACAAAAAGTGATTTGGAGGCACAAGTTTCCAACCTAAGTGAAAAGCTGGCCAATCTGAATAGGAAATATGAAGAAGTGTGTGAGGAGGTTTTGCAAGCCCAAAAAAGGAAACTGTCAGCAAAAGATGAGAAAGAATTGCTACATTTCAGCATTGAGCAGGAAATCAAAGACCGGCAGGAACGGTGTGATAAGTCCTTAACAACCATCACGGAGTTGCAGAGGCGAATACAGGATTCTGCTAAAGAGATTGAAGCAAAGGATAATAAGGTAGGCACCCAGCAGTCTGCCTGGCTTTGCAGAGGATGCCCCAGAACTGCCAGTTGCAGGGCAGGGTTCCTGAGACAGGATTACACAAGCATTAATGAAGGGATCCATGATCACTGGCTCTTTCCAGTTTCAATACTGGGGTGCAAACAACCTCAGCATTGAAAAAAGTAAAGTCTCCTCTCTCTCTGGCAAGCTCCCCGTGACGTACTCGATATGCCAAACACAGTAACAACAAAGTCTCCAATGGAGACGTTACTGGGCCCGCTCGAGCAAATCGACGAACAACGGGAGGGCCTTTACCTTTACCTCCTCTCTCTCTCTCTCTCTCTCTCTCTCTCTCTCTCTCACTTGCTCTCACTCTCCCTCCTCCTCCCCCCTCTGTAATTGAGTAAATATAAGGAAACTCAGATTGACCTACTTCATTGTTGACTGGTCAAAATCCAGTGGGTTTTAGGCATCTGAGTAATCTGATGATGGAGAGAGAGCTAAGAGCTTGCAGGAGTTGAGGAGGCCAGGGAATGTGCCATGCTTGCTGCTGGCAGTCTCTCATGCCAAGGCCCTGCTACACTACCCCCATCCCATCCTATACACTGGGTCCTCACTCCAGATGCCCAGCCTCCTCTCTCCTGAGCAGCATCCTTATGAATAGGACTTTATCACTTACCTTCCTCCTCCTCCACTGTCCAAACTGCCTGCCCTATGGCGACCTCTCTCTCCCTAACACAGTTACACTGAGCTGTCCATTTGAAACAGATGCACTCCCAGATCAACACTGTGCAGTTGGTCCTCCCAACCATTCATTTCGAACAGGTTTACAGCTTAACTTTCTTTCTCATCATTCACTCTCATACAGAATAGAGGCTCAACGGTTTCTCCAAAGCTGGTAGTCACAAAAACTGTGCACTGTGACAATGAGACATCAGGGTGATGGCAGGCAGCATCAGCCAGCCTACAGTGGTTTACTAAGTGTACTCTCTGCTTGCCAGGTGCTATGCTTAGTTCTGGGGTAAAGCAGACACAGCCTCAGGCCTCTTAGTGTCAAGTCACAAACACTACTTTTCTGGCACATCTGCTTTTAGGACCCAGGATTTCAATACTCTTTGCTTATTTGGAAAGTGATTCTGAGTACAATAAGATGTGATGATTATAGCAACTCATTAACATCTCTTCCTAATTGTTACCGTTTATTGAGCATATACTGTGTGCCAGGCAAATAATCATGATTGTGTTGGTTTTCTTAACTATGAAAAGTGCTCCCTTTCACTGATTAGGAAGCTAAGTAAAACTCAGAGAAACAAGGACATTAGCCAGGTTCATACAGCTATTGAGCACTAGTTCTGTCTAACTTTAAAGCCTGCTTGTCCTCATTCTACTCTTCCAAGCAGCCTCTTTCCTCTAAAATAGTCTAAAATCTTCCTGAAAGGAACAAGGTGCATAGGTTAATTATATATTTACATGAGGCACACTGGTTTCTTTTTCAAACTTTGCTGGAAGAAAGCAATCCCATCTTAATTCAAATGACCTAAGGTGTGTGTACATTACTTACAGAGAATCTAAAACTAGGGTGACTGGGATCGTACTCAGACCTTAGTGTATTTGTTCTTAATTTGATGATGCTTTTGTAAGGAATTTAGTGAAAGATTGCAGATTGTACATACTGTTGATGAACAACGTTAGTGACATGTGTTCCTGTTAGGCCTCAAAACTGAAAGACAAATGTTGGGTCTCCATGAATGGTTTCTGGGTGATAGGTGTTCATCATAGATGACCAAGTGAATCCTCTAAGCTCCGCCCGCACTGGTTTTCTCCCCCTCTCTTTTCCATAAGATAACTGAGTTGCTTAACGATGTGGAGAGACTAAAGCAGGCCCTCAACGGCCTCTCGCAGCTCACCTACGCCAGCGGGAGCCCCAGTAGGAGGCAGAGCCAGCTGGTGGACAGTCTGCAGCTCCAAGTGAAGACTCTGCAGCAGCAGCTGGCTGTGAGTCACGGGCCCCGGGTCACTGTCATTGCTCCTTTGTAAAGGCTTCATTAGAAATCAGGAGAAGGATCACTAAGAAAATGATGGTTGGAAGGATCGGTTGGGATGGGAGATGTGTGCTGAAAGTAGAGAAAGGACCAAAAGTGACGGCCTCTCGGTATCTGTGTTGCAAACCATAAGGCCCAAAAGTAGAGAGAGAGTATGGGGGAAATTGTCTGCCATAGAGTCAGAGGGAAGGTGGCAAAGGCCCAGGGGTAGGGTTGGGGGGAACTGGGGAGATTGGTGGTGAGGAATGTGCACTGATGGAGGGATGGGTGTTTGATCATTGTATGACTGAAACTCAGTTTGTAACTGTATCTCACGGTGATTCAATAAAATAAAATTTGAAAAAAAAAAAAAAGGAAAATCAGGCAGAGTTGTGACTCTGCTCGGATCCAAGAATGTGGTCCCACGTGCCAGAAGATATTAGCAGGGTCATACTGGGTGCCTACTTCATGCCACGCACCACACGAAATGTTTTGCCCGCCCTCTCTTCCCATTTTATCTTCATCACAATCCTACTAGGTTTTGTTCCTCCCACTCTTTTGTTTAGGAAAGGATCTATTAAAATACGGGACGCCTCTGCCCATCCAGTTAGAATGTAATCATGAAATTAAATAGCTGGCTCCAAGTCTGGCATGGGTCCCAGAGACTCCAGATACTGCAACATACTTTCTGAAATATTGGTCTACCAAACTAAAGGAGGAAGAGTAAGAGCAATCCTCTGGGCATGTGAAAACAAGAGGCACTCCTAGGGACTTGTACCTTATATCCCTAGGCATAAGAGAAGACATCTCTGTGTGTTCAAACATCTGTTCAGATAGATGCGTCTATAAGGCTCTATATCCTATACTTAGTGAAAGAAGCCGAAGAGGAGAGCTCATTCCTGAGCTCATTCCTATGGCTTCCTCATCCATAAAATAAGAGCTGCTTAATTGCTCGATGTTTAAACTGAATTATCTAGTACTCGTTGAAATGTTCAACAAAACATAGCCCAGTCAAATGTAAATTATTTTCAGTATTTTCTGATTCTTAGAAATTTCTTAAAAGTTGTTTTTTTAAGAGAAGGAATCTACTTTTTAAAGTGTTCAGATATGAGCCACAGCAGACCACAGACTTGGTGTTCAAATGGATGTGACTGTCATTTCAGCAATCAGGGATATCTTCTTCTTTATTGTGCCCATGACACTGTGCTGGACACTGACAGGCTGTAAAGAACCTGAAGCTCCTGCCCCAAATGAGTTCTGGGTAGTGAGAAGGGCAGAAATAAAGTTACAGATAGTAACTACAAATACTAAAATGACCAAATATGAAATATCAATATCAAATATGAAATAAGGTCCCAGGTTCTAACTGTTATTTGTCCCCAAGAAAGGAGGAAAAATTACAGGGACAGTAGGAGCTACTTTCTGAAAGGGGGAACTAGAACTGAACTTACAAATTGATGGTGGTCGGAGAATCTCGGGGATGGGAGCAATAGTAAGCAGGTAGACCACTTGCCTTATGCAGCAGGCAGGGTTTGATCCCTGAAACCCCATATGTTCTCCTGAGCCCTGCCAGGAGCCAGGAGTAAGCCCTGAGCACCTTCGGTGTGGTGCCAAAACAAAAACCAAACCAACAAAACCAAAAAAAGGTAAAGTGTAGAATCTTCCTGCAAAGGAAAATAATGTGAAGAAAGACACAGAGGTGAAATGGACGCAAGTGGCATGTCCAACGCTGGGCATGTAAAGAGTGAGCATAGGAGCCACCTTGAGGCCAGATTGTGGACGCTGTTGCAGATCAAGCTGATGCGGCCAGAGTTTCTCTCACCTACAGTGAGAAGGCTTCTGGGCCAAAAGTAGCATAAAGGGCTACCCGAATGTCAAGCATGATAGGGTACAAAGACACAACAGGAAACTTCTGCGGGAATCCAAAGCATGTATTGATTAAGTGTCTCATAATATCACCTTGTTAGATGTTTACTAAGGCGAACATTTCCTGCCATGGAGGCTCCATGGCATTGCTTTCCATGGCTCTGCTTTCTCTTATAATATCCCCTCATATTTTTTTCAAATGTGATGTTCTGTAGTTATGTTATAGAAATCTGCCTCTGGTGGTTCAACTAACCTGTTTGTTCTAAGAGGTAGCAGAAATACCTTCATCCTATCAGTTCTTTGTAGCAGCCAGCCCTGGGACAGTATTGTCATAGCCTTCGTGTGTTTGTGAACATGATGCTGATACCGGTCCGTCTCTCCACATTTCTAGGATGCTGACAGACAGCACCAAGAAGTAATTGCGATTTATCGGACACATCTTCTTAGTGCCGCACAGGTAACGCATTGCTTCTCCTTTGGGAAGAAGGTAGTTAAAAGAGAAAATTGCTATTTAAATTTTTTTCAAGTAAATTTATGTGAAAATCATTGGTGTTTAAAGCAGTTGTGCCCCATATGCTTATTTAAAAATAATTGTGGCCTTTTTTTTTGTAATCATGGCTTGCATTTCTCCAAGAGAAATTTACAAAGCTATATGGCTCCACAACATCTCAAATTTAGTCTTCTCTCCATCTGCCTGTCACTCATTTTATAGACAGTTTGGCAACATATGATGGCAGCACACGCTAATGGTATTGTGAGACAAAGGCCCTGCTTTGACACGGGGCTGTCAGCTGAGAGAGGAGGTGGAAGGGACTTCACTGCATCCTGATAGCTCAGGATCCCTTCTAAGAGTACAGAAATGAAAGTTAGATGTGCATAGGATTAAAATAATTTAAGAAAATAAATTGGTTCTCTTAGGAAATTAATATTTATTGAGCTTGAAAATTCAATGAAGCATAGGATTAACAATTCCCAGGGTGGGGGCTGGAGAAATAATACAGCAAATAGGGTGCTTGGCTTACACATGGCCAACCTGGATTCCATCCCCAGCATCCCACATGGCCCCTAATCCCCACCAGGAATAATTCCTAAGTACAGAGCCAGGAGTAATCCCTGAGCATGGTCGGGTGTGACTCCCCAGACCCACCCCTCCTTAAAAAAAAAAAAAGAATTCCCAGGATGTGGGGCCCAAAGATAGTGCAGGGTTTAAGATGGTTGCCTTGCATGTAGCTGGTCCTGGTTGTATCCCTGACACAGCAAATCTTCCCCTTCACCTCCAACCAGAGAGCCAGAATAAAGCCCGGAACCAGGTAAGACCCCACACAAAACAAATAAATAAATAAATAAATAAACCTTCCAGAGTCCTGAGCCTGAGATAAACTCAGTGGGAAATGTATGTTTCACAAACTTGGTGGACAGCAAAATAAGACATTCAGGAGAGGACACTATAGGAATATGGAAAGGAGGAAAAGTATGTTAGAGAAGATAAGGAACTGACTGATTGAACCAGGGGGAAGAGCACACACTGGCCAAAAGACACACACTGTCACAAACCATCCTACTCCAGGTAACAGTATGCTTCCAGAATTTGAAATTATTTTCTATTGACTCCTAGCGAAAACAACAAAAGCAGTGGGCATCTGAAATTTGTCCTGCCTTCTGGCTGCGTAAAGTTAACTAAGAACATTTAGTTTAAGTCAACTCTGGTTAATGTTTGAAATTTAATCACCCTGCCATTATAGAAACAGATTTTGGATGCAAAAGATTTTATATTAATAGGAAGTGTTGATGACGAAGCCTCGTCAAGTGATCAGGCGAAGAACAGGGAGAAGGGATGACGAAAACCCATTTCCCAGTTTTGTGCATTGCTTTGCTTTGAATCATAAAATATTTCTGCCTTTCTTCTTTCTCTCCAGGGTCACATGGATGAGGACGTGCAGGCAGCCTTACTCCAGATCATTCAGATGCGGCAGGGGCTGGTGTGCTAGCGTCGGGCTCATGCAGCCCGACTCCTGCCCTTCCTGCTGGTGCTGAGCTTTTGCCGCCACAGGGCCTTACTGTGACAGTGTCATGGAAATAAAGCATACTTTGTTCCACCCGTAGGGTCTCTTAGTGAGATGACTCTCTTTCTGAGTTTTCCAGCATCACTCCCAACCTTCCGTGCTTTCTCTAGATGTTCAGCCCACAGCGAGACCCACAACCTGTTATTTTGCCTTGGACGGGCTACATATTTCTAAACTGTTGAGCCCCTCTTAAAACAGGGGCCATTGACTGGGTCCCCTGGGAAAGGGGTTAGGCTTAAATAATCATGTAAATATTTCTTAAAATTGATTTGGTGGCAGCCACTTTTAAGTGGATCCAAACATCTTTTAGGTCTTCAGATGAGCCATGAGACCTAGTGAGATTTCAAGGAATACTTGCAACTTGGCTGGCCAGGTTGCATTTTTTTTTTTTATTGAAATAATGAGTGTCTTTGACTTTTTTGAGGTACTGATAGTTTTCTTCTTACACTTAAAACTTTTGTGCCTTTTAAAATACTTTCTTGTCAGAAATGGTTTGCAGTGCAAATTAGATTAAGAACAAGGCAGGGGTGGAATATATTGGGAATTTATAGTAAAACTTCCTCATAATCTCTACAAACAGTTATCTTAATTTTAACTTGTGGTGACTTTTCTTGCCACAGTATTTAGAGAACTATGATAAATGATAATACTAGATTTCTCAAAGTGTCAAAAATGTTAGACTTGTTTTAGCAATTACTTTGACATTTGCTACTATAGTAACCAAGTCCTCATTATACATTCATTCTCCAAATGTTTCCTACTTATTTATAGGAAAATTGCACTAATGAGATTAATAATGTGAAATGCAGTTTTCTTACAAAATTAGCATTAGAGAATTGGTTTTAGAAAATAGATCTTTAAGGTTATGACAGAAGTGCAATAATACAGTAAACTAAAAATATACATAGCAAAAAAAAAATAGACCAGTTCACTATTTATAGAATTCTCTAGTGTAATCAGCCATTTTTATTAACTACACCTCATTAAGGAAAATTTGTTTTGCAAATTTTATTAATATTTTGTTTACCATTCAGATTGAAAGATACTAATTTGTTAGCAAATAAAAGAAATTAGTAATTTAGGTAGGTTTTCTGGAATTGTAAAATGTGCCTTAGCATACTGAACCAGATTTTATAAAATGCTGTTATTGTATAATAATGACAGATAACCATCAAAAAAAGCTTTCCCACAAAAGTTAAGCCATCATTTTTTTTTAACAGTCTGGAAGCAAAACAGTGAAAAGTCAGGATTGGGTCTAATTTCATTTCTTTTTAAGTGAAAATATCCAGTTTACACGGCAACATTTGGATTCTTTCATTTATGTTTTATGTTCCTCTTCAGGGATAGTTTTGATTCATGAATTTTAGGTCACATATTGAAGCTCTATAGAGTAGAGCAAAGTTCTCAAGTGAGTACTCACATTTCAATGTTGGATCTTCCTCATTAAGGGAAGGGAAACGTGTATTTTATCTTGTCTTCAATGATCAATAAAATGTTCTCTGTGGAAAGGTGTTTTGAACATGCTTGTAAAGATTTATAAGCCAAGCCAGTCCATTGTATTGTCTTTCGGAGGATGGTGTTGAGAAGATGGTGTGCAGATCACGGAGGATGACATCCATTTCTAGTCCATTTTCAGCTATGTGGAGAGAAGTATCAGAACACCCTCCTTGAATTAATCCCAGTTTCCCATTCACTCACCTTTTGCTATCTGTGGCAGTCTCATATTATAACACAGAAAGCTAAAGCCTTTTAGAAGAAAATAAATAATAAAAAATACATAATATGTGAAGCTGGTCTTTTTACCGTTGAGTGTCCAGAAAAAGCCAGTATCTGAGCTTTATGCTTAAACTTTCCATGTTGGGCTGAATGCCCTGCGATGCGCTCTGCAGGCACAAAGTCTCTGGAATTTTCTCTAGGATCTCCAAACTCTTCAATTCCCTGAAAGAGCAGGAAGTTAGTTGGACTATTGCATCTAAGTTAGTTAGACTATTGCATCTAAGTCACTGAATTTCTGCTGGTGGAGTGCAGTTCTTTGCTAAAAACTTTATTAATTTTTACATCGTCTTTTCCTTATCACTCTTGCTTATCAAAAAACTCATTCCATTTGACAGAGCATCCATGTTACAACTTGCTTTTAAAGTATAATCAAATAGTTATGGCAATGAACATCTTACATTTTTTAATAGTATAGTGACTGTAATCACTAACTATATCTGTAGCATACAAAAATTTGTAATGAATTTAGCTTCATTCCTCCTTCTGGCTGGCTTTGTAAATTTTTGGTATCTATGATGACTAGATATATCAGTGCCTGCTTATAATAATGCTGAACATTAGGGAGCAGTGTTTACCAGCTTCTCTCGATAACTGCTGTACAGCCGGTGGGAAGTAACTACTTCCTAGTGCCTGTTTTATTTCCTCCTCGCTGGCTCCTGCAGCCTTGTGATGATCTTTTTCTTCTGCATTAAAGTAATGGCAGTTCCTCTGGGGCCAAAATAAGGATTGAAGGAGGAGTACTGTGAAGCATGTGTAAAATATGATTGCACGTGTCTGGACCTTGCTCCTGGCTGTTAAATGTTGTGAATAATCTTCTAAGAGAAAAGAATGGCACCAGAAAATATATCAGGCACAAAGGGAAAAGAGACATTTCAGCTCTCGTTTCATTCTATATTGTTCCTGGCCACGGTGACACTAAGACTTTGTTGTTGGAATCCATGATTTAGCCATGGCTACTTGAAACAAGACTGGTTAGATTCAGCCTCTTCCCAGCACACACATACACACACACACACACACACACACACACACACACACACACACACCCTGTTTTGCAAATCATAGAAATAGTTTCTGTTTCTTACTGTATATACAGGTTTTGGACTCATAAAACTCATGGAGGAGAAGATTTTTTTTTTTAAAATGATGAAGCTGTAGCAGAGATGGCATTCCAGTAAGACTCCCTGGGCAGCGAGAATGCTTGTGTTTAGCATAATTGGGCATGTGGCATCACTTATGCATTAGAGGGCATTTTCATTATTTATACCCGCATGAACAAACATTGATGATGAATGAATTCAACCCAGAAGGGAAGGTTACAAACATGTCGCATGTAAATGAAAAAGAGCTAAGGCTCATGACAGTTGCTTCCCCTGTTATATATGTATAATCATATACCTACATAGTGAAATAATGGATGAGACATCACTAAAAACAATGTCCCTTATCATTGATATTTGGCATCAAACAGATGGACTTAACGGGTCCGATTTTTATTTTAGATTTTAAACAGGTTTACAGTGGTCTTTTTTTTTTTTTCCAAGATAGCAGTCCTGGGAATATTCTGAATTCAGAAAAGAGTTTAGAGAGGTTATTGCCTTCTTAATAATTTAGAGCTTCTATTGCTCTGCCAAGTCAGAAGATTAACATTTAATAGAAAAAAATTATATATCTATAATTCAGTCACGGCTATTAGATCAGATGGATTTTACATTAAGTGAAAAAGATGTCGAGCATTTAAGGACCATTAAACTGCAGGACTCTTTTTATTGAGTTTTAAGGCTTCCAAGCCTGGGTCCTGCTGTGAAGAGTATTTATTTTACATATACAGAACACATTAAGGATGGGAAAAGGGCATGCATTTTAAAAGAAAATAGGCCATGAAAAAGTGTGATTTTCCACACCGTGAGCAGCTACCATACAGATTCTGTCTTATTTTATAATAATTAGTTTTATGCATCATTAAGTAGCTTTCTTATAGACTGGAAGAATGTGGTGAAGGCCACTTTAGAAGTGGTACCTGAAGAAACCCAAGTCCAAACGTCCAAACTCTTCTCTGTTGCTGTTTCCCTTCAAGAAGCCACACATTTCATATTTTCCTGGTCACCCTATATTGTGACAAATTTAAGCCTCTTCCTGTGGTCTTAAGGAAATGAAAGAGTATGGGGAAAAGGCCGAAAGAGGTAAAGTTTCTTCAAAGTTTCTCTCTCACACACACACACACACACACACACACACACACACACACACACCCTCACTTTTTAGTGATGCCCAAATTACCAAGGAAGGAGGACAGGAGGAATTCCACTCTTAAAAAGAATTCCTCGCCTCTAGGGAGAAAGTCTACAACATTTTTTTTTAAGTACTCAGAACAATTTATAGTGTTATAATTAAAACATGACAAGCAATACCTTAATAGAGTCTTTCCTTACAGTTTCTGCCCTCCTTCCCGTTCCTTCCCTGACCTCCCAAACAGGAAGTTCTCTGTAGTTGTATAAAAAGCAAATCGTCTCGGGGAGGATATGGAAATGGAGTTAATATAATTCGTCACTCCCCCCCTCCTTTCCAATGTCCAAACAAATTTTGATTTCTCTGTCTTGCTATTCTGAGCTTTTTTTAATTGCCTCTAACTAAAGTGGCACCTTATGGGCTGCTTCAGAAATTCTCTTCGGGATTTAAAAATGAAGCCAATTCATATTCAGAGTTTCTCTGCTGAAATCTGTTAAGCCAAAATAAAAAGGACTGCTACTTAAAAATCCCCCTCTTTGCTGTTGCTCCAAACAGGGCCTCCTTTGCAGGGTTTTTGTTCAATGGAGAGAGAAGCCCCTGCCGGCACAAGCCCCGAGGATGGCTCTGCCCACCTCCATCAAAGAAAGGGGAGCTGCTCTCTTGAGCTGGGAGCTTTTCTTTTTTAAAGTGAATTATTCCAGTTGGCCTTAATCCCTCAGCAATGTAGCTCCTCTAAAACCATCTTTATTCATTCACACCAATTGACACTTGAAGAAATTCCCCCAGCTACTGTTCATCTAAGTCTATATCTGTTAGACTCGAATGCGTTTAAGAGGATTTGCAATCTGTGATTATCCAAAGTACTATTCATCGTCAATATTTTTGGTGTGCCATAGCCAATCTTGTTAAAGCGTACACGGCCACTTAACGGCAGCAAAGCCCAAATACATGGCAGGGAGCGGGATCTAACCTGGAGGGGGGCTCTCTTCCAGCTCTCCCGCGACTGTTCTGGCACAGCCTGGAGTGGGGTTATGAACATCAGAACGATTCCTTAATAAGCTCTTGCTCTCCTTCCAGGCCCTTTTGGGCAAGCTCATCCTCCATGTTCTCTAAGTAAGAGCAGTTACCAGGACAACAGAGAATTGGAGGAAGATTTAATTGTGATCTGATGTCTAGCCAGAATAAAGAGCTGGTGCCTCGAATTTATATGCTAGGTTCCCAAGCAAATGTCAATATGCATATTTATTATTATTATGAGTATTGCCTCCGCCCATGCTTCAGAAGAAGAATTTGGAGGCTTGCAGTGTTTCACCCTTAATAGGGGGATGGAAGAGGGACGGTAAATGCAAGAAGGGCATAAAATAAGCAGTAGACTGAGAGCCAGCACATACGCACCAGTTCTAGATCCAGCCTCCTTAGATAGAGCTGACTTCTGCTTGACTTCTGAGGAGCCATCCAAAAAAAGAGAGCAAAGACCCCCCTACAAAGGCTCCTAAGCCAGAGTGGCTAAAGAAGCAGCTGCCACTCACTCTACAGAGCCATCTCAGAGTTCTCAGGCCCCACACAAATGTCCTACCAAACCATACCCCACACCCAGCAACCCTGAAGTCTCATTACCTTGGAACAGTAGCGGGTCAGTTCAGTGCACCTAGCCTGTTAAGTGTTCCCGCAGAAGGAGCCCTCCACCGCTCTTGTCCCCGGGGGCGCTGTCACCAAAACAGCACTGAAAGCTGCTTTTGCTTTTCACCTTTTGTGGTAAAAGCAGAAATCCACTTCAGATTTCTGTGGGTCAGGGGAGTCAATGTTTTGTAAATGCCAAGCGCTTACTTCACTGGAGTCTTTGAAGATTCAGGGGATGCCCATATCTCCAGAGCTTACGCAGTGCCAGGACAACCTGGGGACCTCATCCATCGGCTTCTAGTGGGGCTTGTCTGGTAAGAAAACGGCTCTTTCTAATTTAGAAAAAATTTTTTTTACTTGGGCCTGATTTGCAACCTATGAGATGATGAAAGCGGAGTAATAATAGTCTACATTTTAGGTCCCTAAAGAAAAACTCCGGTTTTGTTTGTTTTCTCTTATCCTGGGTACACACATGTTTCCAACACATTTCTAAAGTAGACGTCGATCTGGCGTTTTTCAACTTCCCGTCTGCTCTCTCATTTTTCATCCATTTCCGATGTCTGTCCAGGGCCCACTGGCTCTCTCTGTACCTGACACCCACACTTTGGTGTTGCGTTTTCCCTCACCCCTGCTCCTGTTTCCCTCCATCTCCCCAACCTCTCTTTTATAATAATATATAGTGTGACTCAAAACCAAACTGGTGCCAGTTATATGTTACTGAAAATATGGTAACTGCTAGAGATGAAGTCTCAATGCAAGAGCTCATATTTTACGCCCATCAATGGTAGGTAATCTTAGGAAAATAATAATACGAAGAGGAGAAATTCCTAATTGAAGAAAGGGCTTACTGTCAGTGACTTTCATTGCCCTTGGGCAGATTTTATGCTCATCCCCGTTTCTGACAATTCTCCCCAAACCACTTTCCCCAGAATCCCCTCCTCTGTATTTTAAAATGAAAATTGTATGTGTGTGTGTTTGTGTGTGTGTTGTGTGTGCGTTTCATTTACTGCTTCCTGGGCTACCCAGCAATGTGAACTACTTTTCTATGTCTAGACAATTCTCTGCTTTATGAGTCTTAACAA